CCGGGGATGCTCAGCTGCAAAAAAAGAACTTATTTTTCTATCCATAAGTGCCCATTCTTCCAGCCTCTTTCAGGTCCTAGGAGGTTTGGCATCCTTGTGCTCTAATTGTCTGACTGGACTTTGGGAAAGGATTTCCCAAGGACTTTCTATGAAGAAGGAACTTGGTGGCAAAAATATCTTTCTCTCAATAGTTTTTACCAATTAGCATGCTTCATCTAAAGAGTAAAGAACAAATAGGAACAACTTTGTCTTGCCTTATATAAGATGTGGCCATATGTGAGGATGGAGGACAAGGTTAGCACAGGCTTAGGAAGACATGAATCTCCTCATGTCTGAGATTTGGCACCTCAGAGCAACTTCTCGCAAGAAGTGTCACAGGCATGCGGTGTGCTTTGTTCTACGACTCAGCTGGGTCCTTCATCTGCTGCCAGGCATGCTGATACAAAACACTAGTACCGTTCAAGAGACTCTTAATAGGGCCTGTGTCTTTCCTTGCCTTCATTAGCAAGGAATTCCACCCTTGCACTATCAGACCATAAAGTATTTTGGCAGATGTATTGAAGACCAGACTGGGCAGACTGTGAATACAGTTCTGTGGCTGATCAGATGGCTGAAATGCCATTTACTGTCAGCAGAGAGAAGAATAAAGACAAAGCCAGCATTAGAGAAAGCTGTTTCCTGCACCACACTGAGCAGAAGGTGCCAGACCACAGGTGGCAAGGTCCTCGGGGTGTCCTGGAGCAATCAGCGACTGGAGCCAAGGCAGGCCATCAAACCATGGCTTTACATAGCACGCTGTTGCATCTCTTCTTTCATAATTTGTGCTAAGTGCTCTCTAAATTTTTAGTTAAGCAGTTGTTGCCATAGCAATGGCCATTTAGAGTGAGAGAAGGCAGCAAGCATGTTGGGGATGTGAGGTTCTGGCTCGTCACATAAAAATATATATATGCATGTACATGCACTGCTGTGGAGCTGCATGAAAGAAGCCAAATAAACAGTTTACACCAGATCTGAGGGACGGACAGATCATATGGAAAAAGAAGCAGCTTGCTGCAGGTTGGAGGGGTTTGTTCCAGGATGCACCTTCACCTACAAAGAGCTGAGTCTGAAATAGAAATGAGCCTGAGTGGTGACTGACCTATATTTCATTTCATACCAGTAGAAGTCACTCCCTTCGTCAGGACAAGGCATGTTCATTTCTGCCTTTGTAGGAGACGTCTTTGCAGAAACAGGAGACATTTGCTTTCACGTGTTTATTGTTATTAAAAATAATCCTTGCTGTTAGCTCTTTAACAGGAAATGCTTTTCAGAAATTTACTCCCACTGTTTATACTACCTTATTTGCCAGGGCACAGACTGCCAAAAAGTCAATAAATAATACAGGTATTGTTTTACCTCATTTTAGGTCCACGATTTTTTTTCTGCATTCCTAGCACTAGCATTTCTGATGGTCACAGCAAGACAGATTCAGGGCTTTATTTTTATGGGTTTTATTCCTCACTTTATGCCACCTCTCTGTAGGGTGATTAAACTGTATGAGCCTAAATACCTACAGCTAGAGCAACATCCTGCTGACATACCTGAATGCATGTCCCTGAGGACTTTGGCAGACTTTAGTCTTCCTCTGACTAAATTTGGCTAATAAATGGAGTTAGGTGTCATCTGGATCAGCAAATGCAGGCAGTGCCTGAAGATAAGTGCTTTGGGAATTCTCAGCCTGAGAGTGAGTTTTAGATCCCTGTAGCACGAACTAATGAAAAAAGAGGAGGCAGTTTGCATCACTGCCTGGGACCCCAAATCTGTCAAAGTCCCAGATTAGACTGGTTGTGAATGTTTTTTTTAAAGTCCGTAAATTCATAGCAGGGCATCCAAATTTGAAAAATGTTGTCATAAGCTTACTATGGCATGCTTTCTCCATCCGTAAGCTCAGACAGGGTCATGGATCAGAATTAAACATTACCAGGTTCCTGTAGGAGGGCATGATTTAAGGTTTGACAATAATTTTAGGCCCCAAAGAGATAAATAAATGTAAGTATTTTCTAAGTATATCTCTGTTTTGTTATTTCTCAGCAAATAGAAACCACCAGTTCCTGTTCCCCACCAGTGACATTACCTGCTTCTAAGGGCAAGCAGAGTGAATGGCAGGTCTGAGAGATTGAGGATATTGTTTCCATCAAGCTTCCAGTTGTACTTTCTGGCAGAGGCAAGGCAATATCACACCCTTCTTTGCCAACTGGAAATGAAAAAAGCAATGAGGATCTCTAAGTCAGCAAAATCCACAGGTTTCAGTAGTTTACTGATTTACAACAGCTGCAAATCAAATTCAGTAAAATTTTCAGAAAAACACAGTTCCTGTAGATAGCTGAGGGCAGCTTTTGTTTCCAATAAACTTCTGTGACATTTGTGATTAGAACTATAAAGACAGTAAGCACAATTCACAATCAATTATGTTTTATTAATGTTTTTTTGATATACGCCACAGCCCAGTAATCATGAAGCTGTTCAACAGCGTTGTTCTAAAATCAGCTAATAGCAGGATGTAATTTGCAGCTGTCTCTGCTAACTTAAAAAACACTTGCTCCGTTAATTGTGATTTCACACTCCACTGAATGCTGTAGCCTGGAGGTAACATTCATGTGATGGAAGAGTTATCAGTCTGGGCTCTGGTGGGGAGGAAAGGATCATTTCAAGAGAGGTTACTGTTGTTAAATTTTTAATCCTTTTATGTTAAAAATAAACCCCAACAACTCAGCAGCAAAAAGCTACAATCCATTGCTAAACAATTCTTTCCTTTCTTTAAAAACCTGAACAGCCTTTCCCTGTTTTGATTCCTTTCTCTTGCTTTGTGCTATTGTCAAGAACACAGTAACACATGGGACCAGTAGGTGAAACCCTGTTTGTGTAATCAGGCACCTAGGTGAACTAGTTGGCCTAAAGTGCCTAAGTGTTCATTAGAAAGATTTTTGAGCCTTTGGAGGTCTCCAGAGACACCTTGTGTCTGTCTTAAATCAGAATAGGCAGGACATTCTCTTGGGGGAGGTCAAAGGTGCCTAAAATGTGACCATATGTTAAGTATGCAAGTTAGGCAGATTGAATCTCATCAGTAAATGGTCAGTGGTGATGAGACAAGAGTTCAGCACTGAACAGCCAAGGGCAAGGCAACAACAGCTCCTTCTCTGAAGCACTTCCAGTGTATATGTCAGAGGGAGAAATATTGCCTCATTTGACAAATGGAAAGAATCATCTTAGCTAGGAAAATTCCCAGCTGAGTGTTTGGTACTGCCACGGCAAAATGGGACATACAGCTCAGCCCAGACGGGGATGGGAGCACCAACCTGGGAAGGTTTTTATGACTGTCATGGAGGAGTGAGAAGGAGCCATGGAGGGGGCTTGGCCCACTGTTGTCCATCATCTTTGCTATTGCAGTTTCTCCTATCCTGACCAGTGATGCAGAGGACACCAGGCCAATGCCACTACCTGGGGGTCCAGGCAAGGATTGGATCCCATTATAGCAGACTGGGTGGCAGCAGAAGTCATCCCACATAGAGACAGAGGAGGGAAAGGGTGCACACTTAGCTGCATTGTAAGGCCTGTTTGATTCTAAGGGTGGCTGTGCTGGCAGACAGACTGAATATCAACAGAAACAATAGTGAGACAGGACTCACTGCCCTCCACATATGCAAAGGCTCAGCCATACTTTGGCCGTGTTGCCACAATGTGAGGGAAATGCAATGTCTTGGCAGAGGAGTGATGAAAGTTAAATCTGGCAGCTCACACTGATGCTATTTGGAGGGAGCCAAGAATACACACGCAGAGCACCTTGGCTGGAGCACGGGCAGAAACTCATGGAGAAATCTGGGCCCAAGAAAAACTCTGCAGATGTTGCAGAGCTCAAAAGTGATTATGAGTACAAGACAGAAATGAGATCTGTAAGGGCAGAAAAAAATAGATGCTTAAGAACCAAGTAAGAGGGAAAGGCTAAATACTTGTCCAAAGACTAAATACGCAGATACTCCCTGGGGAGCTATACTTAGGTTGATGTTAACTTCACTTAGTTAAGCTTCACTTGCACTAAGCACAAGTGTTAATGCTCCTCTTAGCAAAAAGTTTCATCCCAGGACATGATGCTGAAAACATCATGGTTCACTTTGTGCAGGACTATTCTACATTTATGCCATTACCTCTCTCACCCAGCCTTTGACATTGCTGACCTTAGAATGGCAGTGTCATCCCTGCACCACCTAGCAGGAATAATTGCTATGGCATCCACAGGTCACAGAAGGCAGCTGCTCCTTTGTACCCAAAATCTTTATGCTATCCCTTTTCCTCTTCCATGTCTTTCTGGGACCACACAGGGAGACTGAGACTAAAGTCGACTAACACACAATCAATAAGCAGACAGCACTTGTCTGTTCGGTGCTGTCTCTGCTGGTGTGCTTTCAGCTGTCGCCAATGCCTGGAAGAAATAAGCAGATGGATAAAAAGCAGTAGGATTCAGCTCAATCCAAAAAAGACAGACGGGAAGATGGTGGGACTTTCAAAGGTCTAACCCTGCATTACATCAAGATCATTACACCACAAATTGTCCAGATGGTACAAAGCCTCAGGCTCATGGCTGGACTTCTCAATACACTTGAATATACTTATTATCAAAGTACGGAAGAAACTCTAACGAGTTAAGAGACTGCATGACCTGACCCAGATCTCTAACTCTGGTGGTCTGCTCATTGCAGCTTCCTCTCCTGAGAACAAACTCACTTTAGAAGGACTCAGACAGTGCCAAATGCACTCATGTAATTTAACAAGTAGCAAAGAGCCATATTTCCACATCACACTACTGTCCGGTAATCTCCAGGGGCTCCTTGTTCCTCCCCAGCGTAAATTAATAGGTCTTGTTCTAATCTGTAGAGTCCTTTAATATCTAGAAACTTCAAGAGTATCATGTCAGAGACATATGTTTTCCTGTCTGATTAATATTTTAAATTCTCTTTTTGAAGCAGGATGAATATATCGTAGATCTCTGAGGAAAGGGCTGGACATCTGTTGTATGTTGACATTGTAAAAATATAAAGCATCACTTGTTGATGCTAACAAAATACAAACAGTAATGCGGTGTTCTGATGTTTCTTCTTCTCATTCTAAAGTAACAGAACATAAGTTTTTGTTTTAAGAGGAATGTTCTCATTCTACATAACATATTATCTCTTGCTTTATATTTCATTCTTTATATTGAAAGTGCCTTTTAAACATTCAGGGTTTTTCAAACTCTTCTACAATATGCTAGGCATGGGATGAACTTGACTGGCTTGTACTCTTATACTGCTGGCAGTGGTAATTGTATTAATTAATGTTTTTCATATATGGATTTCCAAGCTGAAATGAAAGGCAGAAAATCACGTAGCTGAAAAGCCATTTTTGTCATTTTTCACAAGGAATGAAAAAAAAATACTCCAAGATATAACAGCCAGCAATTTAAATTTAAAGCCCTTTGATTCATTTTCAGCAACTTTATGTGTCAGCACATGATTAACGTTTCATAAAGGAAATTTCTTCATTTACATGGAAGAAATGTACTTGTTTTCTCCTCCTCACCATGTTTTCTGCAACTTTTTCCTCTTCCTTTTATTTCCTGATTTAAACTATCAGATTGCAGTCAGCCAGAATCAGGATGTGAGCAATTTGTGTACCTGGCACATATCTGTCACCGTAAGGCTTGGGTTCCTTTACAAATATTTGCCTTCCAGAGGTGATGGCATCTCTAATTATAATTGGTAAGAAGACTCAAGCTTGTCCATCACTTCCTTCCGACAAAGTAAGACATTGTATCTTTCAGTGTGGTTCTCATCAGGCATTAAGTTCAAGTTCTGGCAGAACACGTATAAATGTGCCAAATGTGTTAGATGAGCAATGCTGTTGTGAAAGTTATCCATGATCTCTGAAAGAAAGAAACCATGGTATTTAACTTGTTGTGTCAGTCTTGAAAGATACGCCAGAATTTTCAGCCAAAATTGGCATTGTTTCAGAAATCTGCTTCCCTAGGATGAGATCTGTAGGGCACAGCAAGGGCTCAGAGAAAGGTATCTCTCTGATGGGATCTCCTTGGAGACAGATATATTGGTGTTATTAACTTCAATGTTGTAACATGACACAAGAGCACAGGTGTGGGGAACCTCCCCTGTGACCTACCACTAAGAAAAGTCCTCCTCCCAGGAAAGTTCACCAAGGGTGGTTGGTGATATCAACTTGACATATGGCTCCAGGCACCACAATATCACATTACAGTCCTGGATAATGCACAAAAATTCCATGACTGCCAAGAGGGAGCCACCCACAATAAAGCTAAACATAATCTTCTCTAGCACCCACGTCAGCTCTTGTTGCATCCTTTCTCAGGAAGCTGGGTAAACAGACGAGCCCTGAAAAACACTGCAAATGGGAACAAATGTGGGGGGAATTTAGGATACAGCACATAGTAAGGATGAGAGGAAAACCCTGAAGAATTTTAGCCCAGTCATGTAGATTGTCCCATTTACTAGTTAATTGTGTTGAAAACCAGCCAGGAGATCTGAGGTGCCTCAGCTCTCAATAAGTTTTTCCATTCCATCCTTATAAGTGGAAAATTGGAAATTCTACAGCTGTTGGATAGACTGCCAGTGCCAACCATTGGTGCTGATATGCTGGAAGGTATCAGCAAAAATGTCACTGATGTATGAACAATCATACTCAATTTACAAGTCATCTGGCTAAATGAAAGATTCAACTGCACTTCTTTTTGGAGTTTGACACATAGAAAAATAGACTGAAGACACTTAGTCTAATAAGAATTCACCCCTGAAACAGTTTCAGGTGGAGCTACTCTGTGAGCTGCAAACAGAAACCCTGTAGAAGACCAGAGCTGTCATGTGAATGTAGCCCTGGAAGGAAGCCATGAAAGACAAATTTAGGTTTGGAGATGATATCGGTGGGATACTGAACGTAGAAAACCCAGACATCCTCTTTCTCAATCTAGTTACTTTCATGGAAACAAGAATGTGCACATCCTTAGTAAATAAACAAGCTTGCACCAAGAAATACAGGGTTTGTGCAATCAACTTTTTACAGGCACAGAAATAGTCTGCCAAAACTGATTATTCAGACTAAGAGGCAAGGGTGTTTTCAACAAGAGCAGCACAGCTGCCATTTAACACAAGTGAGCTGCTTTCACTGAAGGAAGTGCTGACAGTGTCTCCTAAGAGCAGATGTACCTCTCCCCTGTGGATCTGTGCTGGTGGAGAGAAGGGTCTCCAGAGTGCCAAGTGAAGGTGTTTCACAAGCCGCGTGCTGCCGGCTGAAGTTCACATAGGGAAGTGCTGGCAGAAACCTTATGATGCAGACATGGAAACCATTCTTTCTTCTGCATGTTTCTGTTTAATTTTAATTTCAATATTTGGATCACTTCTGTAGCTAGGCTCTACATCTATTTCCACCAGGAATCCAAAGCCTATAGGGCTGGAGCGTACATATTTTTAATACTAACAGAACACCTAGAACAATACAACCCTGCCCATAGCTGGAGTTAAAGCACAAATGAAAAATGAAAGAATTGCAGCTTGATCAACAGGTACTTCTTTTTGAAACGTCCCAGAAATACGTTTTTAGTAGAAGAGGGTACTGCAAAGCCAAATTGCCATGGTCAGCATAGTGAAATCACTTCTGGTAGGAAATGGAATGTCTCGACCCTGGGGTGTTACCTTCACCATGGTTAAGGAGAGGAATATGGGCTGTATCAGCCTGGAACAGGTACAAAATGTTTGTATATGTAGTCATGAGTTATGCAAGCTGCACAGAAAGCATGTGGGAGGTGCATGCCAGAGGGAACAGGAGAGAAACTGAGTTGCTAGCCCATCTTTGCGAGCTGCTTTAAAATAACCTCCCTTCTTCACATCAAGCAGTCTGTTCAGTGTCACCATAGTGACGCTGCTCACCAGCCACCCAAATCTGCCTCGCAGCTTCCTTCAGGAGTCCCACCACCCAGAAGCCGTTGCTCCTGAAAGCATCCCTCCCTCACAGCCCGAAGGGGAAACCTCCCCTGACAAACCAGCCTTCGCATTAATGCCTCCGATCACCCACCTGTGCACAGCACCTTTGGTCCTTGGCAGGACCCTGGGATGCTGGTACATGGATAGCAGTGCACAGGCTACTGAGTCCGCAGAAGGAGAGACGCACTTTTGATACCCAAAGCTGTGTTCTGGTAACTGTCTCTCATAAACAAAGGATTAGACCTAAGACAGGATTATCACGTTTTCCTGGAAAGCAGGACTCTGCACGGATGGTGTCTCCCTGCAGTGTCAAAGCATCTGTGCAAAGCGCAGAGCCTCACAGGGATTGCCAAGGGGGGAGGCTAAGGTGAGAGATGTGGGTGGATGGCCCCCACCCATGGTCACCCCTTATCAAGCAGCATGCCCAGATAGAGTGAGATCACAAGGTCGAGTCATCTGTGTTCCCACCATCTCCTCCCTTCCTATCCCTGGACACCTTCAGACCAGTGCCCTCAATGCAAAGTGGCACGGAACAAACAGAGAAATGGTCATACCTATTCCCAGTCCTCACCTTCTCCAGTTGTTCCTTGGCTTCTGCCATCACTGATTTCAGTTTCCCTCAGCAGGGCCACTGTGACCATCTTAAGTGACAAAATATCGAAAACCTTTGCACTCTTTGCAGGGAAAATCAGTTCTCTCTGTAGCATCATTCATTTTGCATAAACACTTTTTATGTGCAATGGGGAAATTACTGTCAGTACCTTCCTACCCTTTATTGCTGGCGTATCAGACACGTAGATCTCTGATACACAGATGTGATGCAAGGTGGCGTGTGATGCCATTTGCAGAACACAGCACCTATGAAGGAGTCAGGGGGATGAGAATGGCCTCCTTGCTTTTCGGGGTAAATCCACTGTAGCTCTAGACATGTCTCAGGTAGGCTTTAGAAAACCTCATAGAGGACCCGCTTTACAAACCTTCTCTTTGGCAAAGTTAGTTGTTCTTTGCAGTGTTGAAGGGCTGTTGAAACCAGCCTGGTCTTAATATGACCTTATAAAAGACTCACATAAAAGCCAGAAGGAGCAATGAGAAACAAAGGAGGTTTATCATTAAGGTATCAGAGGAGCACTGGAAAAGATCAAAGTTTGATTCTTGGCTGTGCTGATGACCTTAGGTAAATCATTCAGGAACAGGCTTGGAAGAGAGACCAGCTTGCTTAGGAAGTTTTTCAGTCAGTGCCTCAGTGGGAACCAGGGGATGCAGGGCACAGCTGAAGCATGTTCTTCAATTCCTGAAGGTAAGCAAAGACCTTTTCAAAGTTTGATAGTGATTGTGAGTACCAAGCAAATAAAAAACTGAATTTAGACTCCTGAGGATCTCATTCCATCTTTCTGTGCCTCTTCTCTCCCAAGTGTAAAACAGAGAAAATAAATATTTTACTGGTGTTGTAAGGATAAATGTATGAATATTTGCTGAGATACAGTGGTGACAGAAGCTGCAGAATTAAATAAAATGGATATTGCCTTTTAAAAAATTTCCAAATCCTGTTTTTATTCAAACAGTGGATCAGTGATAAGAACAATGGAAGTTGGTCTGACTGAATTATTAACCACACAACTATTTATGTGACAAATGCCACAGTTTTGTCTGATAATTATTTGCAATGGGAGAGTATCACCGTTTTATATCCCTGTATATGCTTGAATAATATTTGGTAAATTATAGTACTGCTGAATACAGCTACTTCATTACTCTTCCTAACATTACCAGAAAATATGTTTTCTGGGCCTGCATAATAAATCACCTGTGATCAGCAAGCAATCTTACTTATAGATCACTGAGGGATGATGAAGCTTGATTTCCATTGACATATCACTTATTTCAGAATAGAAAATTCTGCGGAGACAGCCTGCAGCTAAGACTATACACGTTACTAAGATTGCAGAGAAAGAACTTGCACAGTGCGTCTGACACATTACTGATTTATGAGGGAACAATGTTGGACGAAATATGAATAAAATACTATCTTTTCACACAATTTGGTACAGCAACATTGAAATTTTACCTGGATCAACAACTGCCTTGCAATAAACATGTTCACCCATCATTCAGTGTTAAATCTTAATTGTTGCTTATTCCAATTTATTTGTGTTGTTTCTAAATTGTAAATAACCCTGAAACTTTAATAATAACATATACTCTGTTAAGGAAAAGGTAAGTACAGAGCGGAATTGTTGAAGTGATTTATTTAAATATTACCATACTTGATTTATCTGAGGATTTGGAGATCAAGGCAGCCAGTTTGTTATATTTGAAGAGATATTGACAAGGACTTAATAGACAAATCATGCATCTGTATTGCATATACAGACTTTGTGTATGTGCATTTAGTTCCAGAATTGTTACAACAGTATCTTCATTCTAAGGCTTGATTTTTCTTCTTTTAAGGTCATTGGTAAACTGCCTTGACCTTAGTGAGAGTAAAATCATATCCTAAGTACATACATCACTGCTCTGTCCTCCCCTTGATCTGAGCACTGAACTGCGATTAACATTAAAGAGAGCAAGTCCAGCCATAAGCATTTTCATGCCCTAAGCAAACATCAAGTACAAGACTCATCCTTGTCATGTCTCTTCTTTTTCTCTTTCATCTCTCTCTCTTTTTTTTTTTTTTTTTACTTAATTTGCTTGCAAGAAAATCTTTTGTGCCTGAAGGAGGGATGGTTTTGTGAAGGAAGGACAGCTTAGTGATTGAGGCATTTGATGGAGAGCCAGGTTCAACTTCCAGGCCTTTCACATAATAACTACCCTTGGTAGATCCCTTAGTAAAGTGCCTTGCAGAACTGCAATGCTAATAACTAAATGGACCAAGGACCACTCTCTGTTGGTGACGCCTACCAACATGAAATGGCTGAAACACTGCGACCACTGTGACCAGTCTTTATTGGGAATAGTCTCTTTGACCCGAGTCAAAGCCGTCCCAGGGAGCTTTCTAACAGTTAAATGGTATGACATGGACTTGATTGCTTTTCTATTACAGACACAGCCTCCAGTTCCCACCTAGCAAAACGGGCTTCTCCTATGTTTCAAACATTTGTCACAGCCCAAAAATAGAGGTAAAGCACCAAGTGGTTTCTCCCATCCTCTCACTGACTGCACCAGGTGAGCAGGCTGGTAAAGGAAGGCAAGGCAGGTGGACTACAGCAAGAAGCTTTGAATCTGAAGGCCAAATGCTGAGTTCAGCAAAAATTAACAGCAAAAAAATTTGTTAAGGGAAGGTTGGAAGCAGCTGGACACACAGTGAATGAGACTCTTATGAATCTCATGAGTCCATAAGACTCCAAGTCCAGAAGAGAGAGAAGATTCAATAAGAGAGGATGGTACAAAAAAAATGTCAAAAGTGGTCTCTGTCCTTGCAAAATCTAAAACATTGTTGAGCAGTGGTCAGCATCAAATATATCACCCCATATGTCTGTGGTCTTTGTGCATAGCTGTCATAGTGGATGCTTAGTCCATAATAAGTTATGAAGCAAATTTAATAAGATGTTCTGTGAGATTGCAAGATAAATGTATTTCTTACTTTCCATGCTATCCAGAGATCCCTTAAGACTGCTCTTGAATATTTTATTCATTAAAGTTTTGTACAGCTCACATCTCCTTTTGCCTTTTCTAATTCCTTCCATCTCTTTTTTAGAGGTCCAGTGGAAAGACTTGCTGGCTTGTTCTTCACTGGCTTGTGGGACAGCATTTGAAATTTGACAATGGATCAGAAGGACTGAAGAGCACTTTTGCTCCCACCAATGTTTCTTAGAGCTGCTAAAACAGGACCAATGAAGATGTTCACCAGACTCCAAGTCCTTGCGCTAGCTTTGTTTTCCAAAGGAGTTTTCCTTTCCCTAAGTGACCACAGCTTTGTAAGGAAGGAAATTAAGATAGAAGGAGACCTGGTCTTAGGAGGCTTATTCCCAATCAACGAAAAAGGCACAGGGATAGAAGAATGTGGGAGAATCAATGAAGACCGAGGCATCCAACGCTTGGAGGCCATGTTGTTTGCCATTGATGAAATCAACAGAGACAACTATTTGCTGCCAGGAATTAAACTTGGAGTTCACATCTTGGACACATGTTCCAGGGATACATATGCCTTAGAACAGTCTTTGGAGTTCGTCAGGGCATCTTTGACTAAAGTGGATGAAACAGAGTATATGTGCCCTGATGGCTCATATGCCATTCAAGAGAATTTACCATTACTCATTGCAGGAGTCATAGGCGGTTCCTATAGCAGTGTCTCCATACAGGTAAGTCACAGGAGCCCCATCAGGTGAGAATAAGTCTGCATTTCCTGTGAGAGAACCACTGCATACATAAGTTTGTCAATAAAGCAAGTCTTAGCTCAATCACTTTACCCTAGGGGTCAATCTAATACACAATTTTTACTGAACTTATAGTAGTTTGATTCACTCTTTAAAACACATCCTGTAGTTTAAACCTCTGGCACCTGTCTACTTCCGCTAGTTTTCATGTATCCTGAAGGCATCTGAAGTTTCCAAAAGAATTTATTTTGAACTCTGTATTTCATGAAACTTTTACAACTCCAAGTTCAGATGTCCTCAGTATTTCTTGCTCCCTCCTTTTGGCACATTGTAACTGCAGCTTTTGGTTTTACAATATTGGTCCCAAATAGGGTATCAGTAGGGTGCTGGAGAGTATTTCATGGCTTGCAAATGTGCAAAGTTAGAAGTGAGTTAAATGCTCCATCTCCAGCTAGGGTGCACCATGCTTGGTTTCAGCTACAAGAGACTAAACATAATGATTCCTTCTGGTCTTGGCTTCCCATATTTTATAAATTCATGATAAAACTTTAAGTCCTTGGCATTTTTTTCCCATTAAATGAACATGAAGAACATCTATATCCTCTTTTTTAGCAAAAATCCTCTATTTCTCCTCTCCAGACCAAGTACTCCCATGGCAGTGCAGCCTCAGGTGTTCTAAATTTCCCTGCCACTGTCAGTGTCCACAAGCAAAAATGTCCGTAGCTTTACTGAAGCTGCCAAATCTACATATATCTCATTATTTTTGGTTAAATTAAATGAACTAGTCCACATCACTCACAACCATGAGTGAGTGATGCCTTAAGCCCAGATTCAAGTAGGCTAAAACCCTGCATCCAGTATTTCCTAATGGTCAGCTGTAGGTTTCCAAAGACACCAAACCTTGGACAGTGCTGGACCACTATGAGGAATATGTTTTTCCAGACTTAGTACAGGCCTTAATTACTGCATCAGTGTCAAAGGAGAAAAATGTTCTTCTGCACTACATACAGCCTATCCCAGCAGGGACAGAAAGCCCACAGAGCTTCATTTACCTCTTTTGTAAGCAGGCCAAGAGTTCATCCAATGCTCATTGCAGTCAGAATTGCATTGGGGAACTGGTTACTACTCCTGTCAACGCATTAAATCCCATCAGTTTGGGAGCATGGCCAATTTCCATCAGACATGCATGAGCACAGAAAAAGCATTCCAACAAATTGCATTGTATTCCCTTTTGTATTCCAGTGTATGGGTTGTCTGTGTATCCATAGTAGGGAATACATGGGCAAACAGTTACCCATACCACAGGAGAACAGCTTCTGCAGAGCAGAACCCCGGCCATCTCTCACACCAGGGGTGGGTTTGTGTCACTGTGGACAAGCTAACATGGCAGGGATGTATCCTTCACCAGTTCCATAGGTCTGATCACTTGGAGCACAAAGAGCAAGTTGCAGGGCTGGAAAAGAGACGTCTGAAAAGGAGAATCAATAGCTACAAAACTCTGGGCAACACGAACTATTAAGGAAATCATTATTCATTGTCTCTTCCAGTCAGACAAAGGGTACATCAAATGAAACCAGCAAATGTCAGATTGTTATGCATGCTAACAACTAAATGAGTTCAAGTGGTGACTAGAAAAAATCAGTATATTCTCTGCAGATACTGTCTCTGGCTCAGCAAATCCCGTATCTGCAAGTATCTCAAGGCTGGTAAAATATTTTGAAAAGTCATATGCTTGCTTTGTCCCACTGGTGGAGAAGTGTCAGTGATTTTTCTCTACCTTTGGTCTAGTCATTTGTGGTCAGTCTGTTTCTCAGTCCACTCTAAATTCAAGGACATTAAGACATGAAGTAGCCTAAAAGGCACATCCAGAACAGTAGTTACAGTTAAGGAAATGGTACAGATATTTTTTTTTCCCTCCCAGGAACCCTTAAACAGTCACACCACACTCCTAAAATGGCCTAGGGAGTCTTGCACAGCATCTGTCAATCTGTCCCTTTGAAGACAGTCTCTTGTGATCACTGACATAAGACTAAATCCATATCTGAAGCAGTAGATTGGATGCAGTGCACATTGAATATACAGAGTATATACAGATGCTTCATATTCCAAAATCTTAGGTTTGGAGCATCTGTCAGACACAAATCAGAAGTCCTGATAAGAGACTTGTTCATTCAGTACATGTGAAAAATGTCAATAAAGCTGTATGCATATGTATATGTAGTCCAATTTTCACAATTTATGAGGGATGGTGAAACAATAGTTATATCTAATATTACCCTATGATCTATACAGTTTCCCTATAGTTGTCAATAGTTATTCAAATATAAGATCTTTATTACACAGTGCTTCAAAAAAGTAAACAGGTTCACAAATCAGTGTGTCATTGAGCATTTTCCATCTAGAAAAGAAGTATTCAGTTGATTATTTTCCCTTGACATAGATGGGATTGGCCTTCCTTCAGTATTTCTTTTCTAGCTTTCCTCTAGATTTCACATTACTTAGAAAATATGTGATTAAGCCATTCACTTCTTCCACTCATCTTGTTAAGATAGCTCATCATGAATTCTTTTTCAAAAGAAAATCCTTGTCAAGAATAATAGAAAACGCAGACTCAGGCCTGAAGAGGTAAGGACTTCAAAGCGTTAAAGCAGCTCAATTCGGTGCCACACCAGAAGACACTACCAAATTTCAGTCACCTGCACAGAGTAGCTCCAGTATCAACTGGAATCGCACCAGTGCTGAAGTGCTGAATGTCAAACCACTTCAGCAGGCACATGTCCAAGCCTGAGCATCCCCATTCCCCCTGCTTTCAAACGGCACCCAGGGTGCTGGATGCTTCCAGATGTAGCTCTGTCAAACATTCCTCTTTTGCCTGAGAGCTGTAAACATCATAAAGTCCACAATGCAGTTTCTTAGCCTTAAAATAAACCATGCTGAGCTCTTCAGACAAGAAATTATTTCTGCATTTTTTTTCTTCCCCCTGTGAATTTGCTGTTGTATTTCAATACTTTTTCTTCCCCTCCTTTCACCCTCCCTCTACAGATTTTTGTCTGGACAGCTGTCTACCAAATCATTTCATGATGCTCCTACTGTCAGATTTCTGCTTGTTTCATTATCCTTCCACCAAGGAAAAAAGAATTTGCTGGTAAATCAGCAACGAACACCTTCCCCACTGAGTCAGTATGCACGATAGGCACTTTTTGCAGAGACTAAAAACAACAAGAGAATGCAGAATGCTTAATTATTTTTTGGTCAGACTAGGCTATTATCGTTAATGATGATCTGGGTAATTAGTTTTTAGATGTTGTGTTTAAATTAGCAGTGAGCCCAATCTGCACAACATTTGATACCTCAAAACCCAAGCCAGGATTCTCAGTCAACTGAAAAGCTCATGTAAAAAAAACTGTTATCTCGAAATAAAATTCTGACCTCAGTTGAATCTAGGATCAGAAGGTGAATTCTCCAAAGTTTGGAGGACTTAATTTTAGGTTCATGGCTTTTCATTTGAGCTAGATTATCCACTCTCTCCTAGTTAACAACAGAAATTTCAAACGTATTTTCCTTGGAGATGTTAAATGACATTGTAAAAAGGATAAGAAAAAAAAGCACTGTTCATTTACACAGAGAAGTACCTGCATAGCTAATTCAAATGCCGTGTTTAAAACACTTAGATTAGATCAGCTCTGTCAGGTATATGCATGTGTAACCAGGAATATGGCTATTCAAGTGCTGGATTTGTTCTTCTGTTTCTGAAAACTGGACCCATCTTCTGAAAATGAAGATTGGATTCCATTCCCTGCAGTCAACTCTTAGAACACAAAGACATTCCCTTCGACAGACTGGGCTTTGCATTTGCATATCCACTATATTCATGTTGATGGAGGGCTTTAGCCCTGTGTAAAGTTTCCTTTATGCTGCCAACTCACAAGACCTCCAGATCCCAGTCATGAAAGTTATTCCCAAATTAGAGCCTCATCCAGAAAATAAAGGCAGAATAAAAACCAGTACCCAGCTGTCTTCTCTTGAATTCCTTGTTGTGTCTCAAGTAAACTGTAGCAAAGCCACAGGAGAAGGCTTAAAGGTGCATTACTGTTTTCAGAAAAGCGAAGGCCTTTCTCCTAAGTGAGTGACCATCTGATATGAAATTCAGAACATGTACTCATTTACTAGCGAACTTTTCCTTTCTCCTTAGCCACAAAAGTCTGCCAAGGGCTCATGGAGCCTGAAAGCTAATCACCTCCATTTCCTTCCTCCAAGGATAAACCATCTTCCAACCAGAGTCTTAACAATAGTTTTTCATTTCCATAACCACTGAAAATAGTGCAAAATCCTTCGAAGAACTACATGCAAACCCCCTTCCCCATAACATATGGAGCTCTGTCCCCCTGTGCATGGTCTCAACAAGAATATAGGCAGCAGAAATGCGCAGGGGGCTTCAGGCATTCACCGGGGACTACAGCCCACATATGCCATTTGTGCCGAGCTTATAGAGGAGCTTTGCATTCAGCTGTGCAACAACAGCCTTTGGCGGTTTTGTGCTTGTAAAACTAAATCAGATCCTTTTAAAAAGATTTGCTCTGTGAGACGGGCCACCTACCACTAACATTTAAACTACACATGCACTTGCTGACTTCCTGGTGCCTCCTTTAAACTCTTCCCCTCTTTTATCTCTATTCTTGCTCTCTCTCCACTACCTCTCAGCCAGATCCTTGCTGTTTGTTCCTCTCTTTGTTTCTGTTCCACAATCAGAAAGTGAATAGCCACAAGGTTGAGATTTTCAGAGTACTCAAAGAGCACTGGATGACTTTCCTAGAGATTTCAAATGAATGTGAGTACCCCCCTCTTGCTGGCTTCTTTGAAAATCCCAAGATAATTGATTCCTTTGCAGTCTTTTTGAATTGGATTTGGGATTAAATTTTTCCTTTGGTGTGAGCATTTTCTCGTTTTGCCAACGGGAAATGATACAATTTTACAGGGATAAGTAA